AGAGAGAGAGGGAGAGATCAGGGTGGTGGAGCGGAGGGGAGGGAAAAAAAGAAGGTTGACGAGAGGAGTCGCCCCGCTGTGACAAAATCCCTCCTTCAGTGGGGCCCAGAGCCCGAGGCGACCCCCTCCCGTCGCCACGCCACTTCCTGTTTTTCGTTTCCCTCTTCCCCCCCTCCCCTCCTCCCCCTCCAGCCCCTCCTTGGTGCTTGGTGCTTGGTGCTTGGTGCTTGGTGCTTGGTGCTTGGTGCTGCGACAACTCGTCGCGCCCGTAAGGAGCTCCCCCTCCTTTCCGGCACCAGCTGGCAGGAGGAAAAAAAAACCCACTCCCGACTTTTGGGTGTCTGGGTGTGCACGCCGCTGAGGGCACAGAAACCCTGGGCCGTCTTTGCCGGCCGTCCGCCCTTTGTCGTACTTGGTCGCAGATGCTCGCACTGCAGATTTTCTTCGTCATCGGTTGCTTTACCAGCTGGCAGGCTGCTACGCCAACCAATGTACGTACCCTTTGCCCCTCCTGCCTGTCCACCACCTCGAAAGGTACCTCACCAACTAGATACCAACCTAAGGTACCTACCTAGGCCTGGATCTGGGTATGCTCGAAACCGAAGCTCCAGCTTCATGGTCCGGAAACACTTCGACACGCCCGAAAGCAGCCTACTCCAACAAGGCAAGGGCCGGCCGTTTGAGTCAAACCTGCAAGAGCATGCCCATCACCATTCGTCCGACATTATGCACGCCGCCAATGACATGGGGCTGAGCCTGGGGACGGACACACATCTACCGAACGGGAGCTGCACAGAGCTGCACAGAGCTACATGTACACAGAGCTACATGTACACCGAACAATCAGGCCGATTACTCCAAGCCCACGCGACAAAGCTGTCTGACGTTATTAAGGATAGTGAAAACGCTAAAACCCGAATCATCATCTACGGCCGAGGTATCAAACGCACCAGGCTGTCGTAGTCAACCTCATCTGCTCAATCGTATAGACAGCCTCAGGCTCGGTGGATGACTCGACGCCGATGCCCATGTCATGCTGCCTATGCAGATCCCTCCATCGTCTCCCGCCTGCTGTAGTCAGCCATCCTTCATGATGACCCCATAATCCTGCCGTATGCATCCTCCACCTCGCCCGCCAGCTCCAACAGTGATACAATCACAATCTGATGTGTCAGGTTCGGCATGCGATCCCTGTGCAGCCCAATCCACTCCAGCGGCGGCGTCGCCTCGCCCATGTCCCGGAGCTGCGGCGTCTCGATGATGGCCGGCTCCAGCGCCACGTAGTCGTACTTGGACTGCGGCACGTTGACCTCGGCCGTGATCTTCTGTTGCTGCTGCTGCTGCTGTTGCTGCTGCGCCGACAGTGACGATCGCGAAGACCCGCCCATCGCCTGTCCGCCGTCCTCCGAGTCCGCCGCCTCCGGCACGCCCGTCACCTTGATCGCCGACAGTGGCAGCGGCAGCTCCTTGCCCCACGTCTGCTCCAGCGACTTTGCATGCTTCGCCCACATGCCCCTGATGTAGCTGATGCGCGAGTAGTTCCATCCCACCTCCACCTTGCCCCCAAAGGCACTCTTGAATGTGTACTCGATACGGTTGCCGTCCGGCCGCTGCCACGTCTGCATGATGGCCTCCAGCTTGGGCACCTTCAGAATCGTCCCGCCGCGCGATCCAGTGGCCCGGGCAACCACGTCCTCTACCGTAATCTCACTCAAAGTCTTCGGCGCTTCACTATTGCGCACCCCAGCAAGTCCTATCCGGAGCTGGCCCAACGTCAGGTCGAGGATGCTGTGGATCCTTCTCTGCTCCATGCTCGCCGCGAATC